AGGAGGCTGTGATTGCAAGCTGGAATGAAAGATTTCTATTTCTATTTGAGGTCCCAGAGGGGAAAATGTACAATAAGATATCTTGGGTTTGGGTTTTATTTTCCATAACTTTTAAATAGTGTAGAATCTAAAATAAGAACAAACTTACTGGGAAAATCACGTTTTTGGGGCAAATCTAACCTGCTCTGGTCTCCAGAGGCTACCTTCAGCCCTCCATAAGCTTCTGGTTCCAGTACGGTCATTTTCCTCTGAATGAGGGTGTTCACTTTGACCAGTCACCAGCTGCACACCTGGCTTTGTTTCGTTTGTCAAGATCGCTTTTTATAAATGCATAGGAAAGAAGAATGCTGTATGTTTATGGGTATGTAATTGATATTTTGCAGTATGTCATGTTGCTTGCAAGCTGGTATTTATGTTTGATGGCGACTATCCTGTTAAAGAATCTATTCGAAGACAGATTTTGGTAAGTCCTAGATGGGGTGGGGGGGGGGGAGGAAGACTAGAAATCCTTGTTTGTGTGCCAGAAGGGGCCTACTTCAGAGATCTCTAGTCTAGATGTTTTTAGCCTGCTGTCTGTGAATCTGTCATTTTTTTATTAATTTATTTTGATTTATCAACAATCACTTCCAGAAGCTTTTGAGTTTAAATTTTTCTCCCCCTCCCTCCTCACCTCCCTCCCCAAGACAGTGCACAATCTGATATAGGCTCTACATATACATTCCTATTAAACATATTTTCACATTAGTCCTGTTGTAAAGAAGAATTAGAACCAATAGGAGGAATCACAAGGAAGAAGAAACAAAACACAACAGAAGGAAAAAAAAGAGCAAATAGTCTGCTTCAATCTGCATTCAAATTCCAGAGTTCTTTCTCTGGATGTGGATAGCATTTTCCATCATGAGACCTTTGGAGGTGTCTTAGATCCTTGCATTGTTGAGAAGGGCTAAGTCTATCAACGTTAGTCATCAAACAACGTGGCTGTTACTGTGTACGGTGTTCTCCTGGTTCTGCTCACTTCACTCAGTATCAGACCATACAAATCTTTCCAGGTTTTTCTGAAGTCTGCCTGCTCATCATTTCTTACAGCACATAGTATTATTATATTCATATGCCACAACTTGTCTGTGAACCTGGTTTTTTTTTTTTAATTTTTAGGCAATTGGGGTTAAGTGACTTGCCCAGGGTCACACAGCTGTTAAGTGTCAGGTGCTTGGTCTGAGGCTGGATTTGAACTCAGGTCCTCCTGACTTCAGGGCCAGTGCTCTATCCACTGTGCCGCCCAGCTGCCCCTTGAACCTGTTTTTTAAAAATATTTTGATAATTGATTTCAGCATAATTGGTTTCCTTTGTAACCCTATAATACATAGGGTTACTGTGTGCATTTAAACACATGCTCCTGAGGAGGGTCCATATGCTTCTGCCAGAGGGGCCCATAACACTAACAAAATGAAGAACCTCTAGTCTAGTCCAAAACTAATTGATGCCTTTCAGTTTTCATCATAATAATTTTTCCCTCCCAGACATCTATTTTGTAGAACAAATAGTATTATTTTAAAGACAAAAGAAAGAAAAAGAGGAAAAAATCTGTACGACCAATCAGTATATTGAAAAAGGCTAAAAACCTGTGCTAAAAACCCATGGAACTCCCATCTCCTTAGAGGGGTAGGTTGGGGGTGTCTCTTCATGTCTCATCATTTGAGCTATACTTGATCTTTCTAATTTTGCTATGTTCACTTGTGATTTTGGGGGTGTGTTATTGTTCTTTCCATTGACATCGTTGTAGTTACTGTGTATATTATTTTCTGGGCTCTGCTTCAGTTCCCTCTTCCCTCTGCATCAGTTCATATAAGTCTCTTCATGCTTCTTTGTATTCCTCACTCTCATCATTTCTTTTTTTTTTATTAATTTATTTTGATTTATCAATAATAACTTCCATATGCTTTGAGTTTAAAATTTTTCTCCCCCTCCCTCCCCACCTCCCTCCCCAAGACGGCGCACAATCTGATATAGGCTATACATTTACATTCATATTAAACATATTTTTACATTAGTGATGTTGTAAGTAAAAATTAGAACCAATAGGAGGAACCATCAGAAAAGAAACAAAACTCAACAGAAGAGAAAAAAAAATAGCAGTTCAACTTCCATAGTTCTGTCTTTGGAATTTTAAAAAAAATTTTTATTATCATTATTATTACTTTTTTTTTGGCCAGGCAGTAGGAGTTAAGTGACTTGGCCAGGGTCACACAGCTAGTGAGTATCATGTGTCTAAGACCAGATTTGAACTCAGATCCTCCTGACTCCAGGGCCGGTGCTCTCTCCACTGCAGCGCCACCTAGCTGCCCCTCCCCCCGCATAATTTCTTACAACACGGTAATATTCCATTTGGTTAGCCCCCATCGATGGATATCTACTTTGTTTCTAATTCTTAGCTATTACAAAAAGTGCTGCTATAAGTATTTTGGACCATGTAACAACTTTCTTCTTATCAATGGCTTCCAATAATGGAGTCTCTTGAATCAGAGGGGATGGACATTTTAGTCACTTGATTTGTGTAAGTCCAAATTGCTGTGAATAGGCACCAGTGGCTGGGGGCAAGAGTAGGAAGGATCAGGCAAGGAAAGTCAGTCAGAAATTATTAAGCACCTACTATGTGCCAGGCACTGTGCTAAGTGCTGGGGATACAAAGAAAAGCAAAAATACATTTTTTTTGCCCTCAAGGAGCTCATACTCTAAAGGGGGAGACAAAATGCAAATAGCTTTGTATAAACGAGATATCTATATAAAGTTAATTGGAGATAATCTCAGCGGGCAGGCACTAACTTTGAGGATGGACAAAGGCTTCTTTTTTAGAAAGTGGAGTTTTGGCTGAGACTTGAATGAGCCTAGGGAAGCCAGGAGGCAGAGATGGAGGGAGGGAATTCCAAGAATGGAGCCAGTGAAAATGCTCACAGTTGGGAGATTGGAGTGTCTTGTGAGGAACAGCAAGGAGGCCAGTATCATTGGATTGCAGAATATGTGGTAGAGAGAGTGAAGACTGGAAAGGTGGGGGTGGAGGTGGGACAGCTTGTGAAGGGCTTTGACTGCCAAACTGAGGATTTTGTATTTGAGCCTGGAGGCAAGAGAGCCACTGAGTTTATTGGACGGAAGGGTGGGTGGAGGATAGACTGGAGTGAGGAGAGACTTAAAGCAGGCAGACCACCCAGAAAGCTATTGAGCTAGTCCAGGTATGATGTGATGAGGGCCTCCATTGGGTGGGTGGCATTTACAATAGGTATTTTGAAGATGAAATTGATAGGATGGCAACAGATTGGATATGGGTTGAGGTGTGAGAGAGTATAGTCAAGGATGACACCTAGGTTGTGAGCTGGAGTGACTGGGAGGATGGTGAGACCCTCAGCAGCAATAGGGAGGTTAGGAAGAGGGGAAGGTTTGGGGGAAAGATGCCGAGTTCAGTTTTTGACATGTTGAGTTTAAGATCTCTGTGGGACATCCAGTTCAAGATATCCAGTAGTCAGTTAGATCAGGAACGACCTCATGCATTTGAGATGAGCCATGAAGGGAACTAGGGTGAGGGATCTAAGAGATGGAAGTGAGCAGGTAGTACATTCCAGGCATGGGGGAAAGTCTGTATTAAGGCATAGAGATGGGAAATGAAGTTCTGTGTGTGAGGAATGGTCAGAAGGTCAGTTTAGCCACATGGTAGGCAGAGCACGTGAAGGGGAGTAATGGAGAATAAGCCTTGGAAAGGTGAGGTAAAGCCAAGCTGTAAAGACAAAGGCATTTGAGGTTGAAGCTCAGTGTTCCTCACGAGCCACTGAGCAGGGGAATGGCCTGATCAGGCCTGGGTTAAGACTGTCACTGACAGCTGAATGGAGGATAGATTGGTGAACAGAGAAGCTTCGGGAAGGGAGGGCAACTGAGAGGCTGCTGCAATAGTGCAGGCAGGAGGTGATGAAGACCTGAACTCAGTGTTGTGAGAGAGACTGTGGAAATGGAGCTGTGAAGACTGAGGGGCAGCATGATACAGTGGCTAGGGCATTGAATTTGGAGTTAGGAGAACTTGGGTTCAAATTCTACCTCTGATACTTACTAATTCTGTGACTCTGGGGAAGACATGTAACCTTGCGTGCCTCACTTTTCTCACCTTCAAAATGGAAGGAGGTCCCGCTTCCAGCCCAGTTCTCACAGCCATCATTTGGGGAGGCAAACACCTGTGGAGAAGGGCCAGCCGTCCCTACCTGCTGTCAACCAACTACCACCCACGAGGCCAGCAGGCCAGCCTACCTGAAGCAGCCAGGTCCCCTGAGGGAAAGACAGGAGGCAGCATGTGCCAGGCAAGTCAAACCACTACCAACCTCCTTGGCCATCATCAGACCTTGATGGAAGCAGTCCAGGACCCTGAGCCCAAGAGCCTTGGGAACAGCAGCCAGCTCTGTGCCCACAGCCATGCTCCTGGGAAGGAAACCCTGGGGAGATGCAGCCTGGCCACCATTTCCCCACATACCTTGATGGAGATGGCCCAAGACCCCAAAGTCAAGAGCCTTGGGAACAGCAGTGCCCCCTAAACCAGCAGATCTGCTTCCAGCCCAGCCCCTGCAGCCATCACTGAGAGGAGAAATCATTGTGGAGAAGGCGACTCATCTTCCTTACCACCAAGTAGATGCACTAGGAGAAGGACCTGTGATTTCATCAATGTAGGGAACTCCCCACGTGGTAACTTCCTCCACCAATAAATGCTATCTTAGAATAATAACGTGATAAATACTGTATAATGGCCATCTGTTCTTTATCTTCTTTCCCAAATACAGTAACCCGAATGTAGCTTGACATACTTATGATATTTCCCAGAAATCAGAAGATGAAATATTTCCCCAAGACTTAGTCACAAGATCAAGAACCAGTTTGAGGGAGTGATGGTGGTGAATGTTTTCAAGCATGTCTACTTTCTCTCTTCCAGATGACAATGAAAACTGGGAAAGGGTGGGTTGATGTCGGCAATGCTGCACTGGCGGATGGATTTCTTGAGACTGCCCAGAAGGTAGGTTGTTCCCAAGGCTTAGTTTGCTGCAGCTTGTTATTAGGCCCAGCTGTGGAGGGGCTCATCCTGCATTTGTCTGGATTTTGTTTCCTAGCATCTAGAGAGGTTGTGTGCTGAATTACTGGAGAAAAGTCACGGCAGCCCTGATGAGGATGTGTATAAGATCGATGCCAACAGGGACCTGTTTAAGGTGCTTTCTTACCAGGCTGAGTCGGTAGGTATCCATCTGCTTGCCGGTCACTGTGGTGTGTATGTGTGTAGATGAAAGTAACAAGGGCCTTGGGTCCCGTGGGGCCTAGTGGAGCTTCTGTTGGGTGGCTTCTGTAGCTCTGTCCTTAGTATCTGAGGACAGTCCTCTTGTCAGGGCTTGCTTGGCACTGGCATCGGTGTCTATGTGCACGTGTGGATGTAGTTGAAAAGGCTGATGCCTAGTGAATCATCATTTCCCCTCAGTGAATGCCAAGACTCTTTGGCTTCTGGCAGCACCTGTTTCTGGTTTCAGCCCTGTCTCTATGGCTCTGACTGTCAGAAGCCCTGCTTTGAAAAGAACCCCTTCATTTCTGATTGCTGCAGCCAGTCTGACTCGCCTAAGGCTGGATTCCACAGACTGAAAGAAGCAGTCACCCTTCAGCTAATCGTGGGCCTTTGACTTTAGTTTCCCATCCCAATGGTTGCTGTGCTATTCTGCTTTCCTCCATTTCTTCTGCCCACCTACACCCAGGAAACCAAATTTAGATTGAATGTGTCACAGGCCATCCCTAGGCCAATGTTGGTTTGAAACTCAGTATTAAGGATAACCTCGAGGTGATTGTACTGGAAGTGCTAAAGAAGTACATGACCTCTCCCGTGGAGGCCTTCAGTTTGCCTTGCGGACAACACAAAGGGAAGAAGGAAAGGGGATGGGAGAGACTGGTGTCATCTGCGTTGGACTTGGGGGGAGGACCTGTGATTTCATTGGTAGAGGGAACTCTGGGCCAGCGCCCATCAGCACCTGCTGGGCAGTTTGGAGTCTCAAAGAACTGTCTGGGGGCTTGGAGAGGCCACATAGCTTGGCCAAGGCCACAGGGCCAGTAGATGCCAGAGGCACCAAGTCATGTTGCCTTCATGCACTCTGTTTTCCTGAAAATATCTTAAATGGTCTAGATTATTAAGAAAATATCTTAAATGATCTTAAAAATATCTTAATGGTCTAGATTAAATAGTAAGCCAAACACCATTCGTTATATATTCAATACATATGGATGTGTGTCTATGGATATGTCTATGGGTTTTATTAGGTGCCGACTACCTCCAGTCTCCTCCTACTCCAGGCCAGCCTCCACACTGCTGCCGGCAATGGAAATTTCCTTAAGCACAGGCCTGACTACTCAACCAGCTCCTTTGACTTCTCATTGTCTCTAGGGTCAAAGAAAATCTCTTCTGCTCTGTTTTTAAAGCCCTGCAAACCCGGAGCCCAATCTCTCTTTCTAGCCTCCTTGGACCCACCTTGCACCTCTGCACTTTCCCAGCTAGCCAAACAGGGCTTCTCTCTGCTCTTTCCTGGGCACATGCCATTTCCTGTCTCTGGTGGCTTTGCACTGGCCACTCCGAACTCTACCTCAAAGTCCCTCTTTTCCTTTAAAATACACTTAAGGCACCATTTCCTCCAGGAACTGTTTTCTGATCGCCCTCCCCTCAAGTGATAGCACCCTCCCTTTCAAATTCCTATCTTGTATGTGTGTATAAAGTAGTTAAATATGTATAGCTATGTATGTATGTATGTATGTATATATATATATTGTAGTATTGGGAAGTATTGGCTTCCCATTTATGCTGTATAGGTAAATGTTTTTATAACTACTTGTCTCCTCATTAGAATGTCTTTGGGCTCTTGGTGATTAGTGATTATTTCCTTTATACTTGTATCCCCAGAACCTAGCCCAGTGCCTGGCACATACTTGCGGATTAATTAACGTGCTGGGGATTCAGAGAAAGGCAAAACGGTCCCTGCCTTCAAGGAGCTTCCATCCTATTGAGGGATCATACATGGGAAATGGGAGGAGGGTACCCCCATATTAGAGAGACAGCCAGAAAGTGTCTTGGAGGCCTGGGCCTGGGCAAGGTAAGGCCAAAGTTAGCTCTCTGAGCCAGAGAAGTCAGAAGTAGAGTGCAAGTTTCAGGTGGGGCGGAGATGGTTGTAGAGTAGGGGCTGTAGAGAACAGAGAGCCGAGAAGTGGCATGGAGGCCTGGGCCCCTGGAGGAGAAGGCAAAACGCTTTGTATTAGGTTCAAAAAATGAACTGTACAAGCACAGAAAAGACTTAAGGACTTTACTTTGTTGTCGTCTTGGTATGAGGCAGCAGTGTGTCCAAAAAGCTAAAGAAATCTTAGGCCACGTTCATAACAAATGTCGCATCCAGATCCAAAGAGACAGCCATCCCACTGCTCTCTGGCTAGGGAGGCCATCCCTGCCATGCTCTGTCCAGTTAGGGTGCCACCTTGGATCGCATTGAGTGTGATGCCTTTTGTTTTGACACCACCTTCGTTTCCCATTTTAGTGACTCCTCTCTTGTAACAAAGATCCCCAGGTAGGCCAAACTGACCCACAGCATGACCGCCTTGAGCACTGGATGCAGCACTGATCTCCTGTAGTCCCTGACACCTCAGCTGAAAGTAGGAAGGCGTTATTTCAGCATCCGTTGTCTGAGACTCGTAGTTGTCAGATTTTATTTTTCCTTATTTTGACTTTGGCTGCCCTTTGCCGTCTTCATTTACATCATTGTCCTCATTGTGTATATTGTTTCCCTCACTCCATTGACTCCTCTCGATTTTCTCTGAATTCCTTATATGTTCTTTCTCATGGCTCAGCAGTTTTATACTACATTTGGATACCACATTTTTCTCAGCTGTCTCTCAGTTCATGGGTGTGTTCCGTTTTAAGAGGGACATTGACAAATTGGAGATTTCAGGAGGTAAAGGGTCTGAAATCCATGTTGAAGGAACTGGGTTTGTTTAGTTTAGCCTGGGGAAGAGAGGTAGGGAGTAGATGATAGCTGTCTTCCTCTGCCTGTGCCCTTGAACTCATCCCTTCTCATCTCTTCCAAGAATTTGCCCCGTTTATCATCCCCTTCTTTTTATTTTCATTCTCTCCCTGTTTTCTTCCTCCTTCCCAGATGTCTTCAGACATAAGTAGGTCTCTCTATCCTAAAAGCAACTTTCTCCTGACCCTGCCACACCTTGAAACTATCATCCCATTTTTCCTTCCTTAAACTGCTAAACTGCTAGAGTTATCTACATTCCTTGCCTCTACTTTCCCAGCAACCACACACTTTACAATCCTTTGCAGTTTGGCTTGTCCCGCCACACTATTCGAATGGTTTTGGCAGAGGTTCTCAATGGTTCCTGTTTGGGCAGTACATATCGCCCAAATGGAATGGTACAGAGAAGACTAGCAAAGGTTAGCGATGAGCTCCTGATTGTGACCCCGATGACCACTCCCTCCTCCTGGATATTATCTTCTTCCCGGACTTCCGTGATGCTGCTTGTACCTGGTTCTCTGAATTTCATTTTTGGACAGTAGTTTGCCCATCCTAAATGTTTATTTTTGCTGATAATGATTTGGGTCTCATTTGATCCCCACAACAACCCTGTGCCAAAGAAAACGAAAGCCCCTGGATTATATAGAGTAGGTGTCTTTTTTTTTTAAAGTGATGTTGGTCAGCATTCAGCTGAGGGCTGAATTGGTGCCCTTTGTGAGGGTGTTAATGATGTCCTTGAAGGCTCTGTGCCCAGGAGGCATGTCTTGTGTAAGAGAGAGAGAGATGAGTTTTATTCTCCTGGGTCTCTAGGAGGGAGCTAGGACTGTGTCTGGTTCTGCCTCCTTCTGAAGCCTCATTCTTGAGCACCCTGATTCTTCTCTAGCTCCACTCTCAACTGTTTCACCCATTGCCTGGCCCATTCCACTATGCCCTTTGGAACTCTCATAGTATTGGCTATATACACTCCTCTACATCCTCCAACTTTTTAAAAAAAATTATTAATTAATTTTTAGTTTTCAACAATCACTTCCAGAAGCTTTTGAGTTTTAAATTTTCTCCCCCTCCCTTCCTGCCACAGGCTCTACATATACATTCCTATTAAACATATTTTCACATTAGTCCTGTTGTAAAGAAGAATTAGAACCAATAGGAGGAATCACAAGGAAGAAGAAACAAAACACAACAGAAGGAAAAAAAAGAGCAAATAGTCTGCTTCGATCTGCATTCAAATTCCAGAGTTCTTTCTCTGGATGTGGATAGCATTTTCCATCATGAGACCTTTGGAGGTGTCTTAGATCCTTGCATTGTTGAGAAGGGCTAAGTCTGTCAACATTAGTCATCAAACAACGTGGCTGTTACTGTGTGCAGTGTTCTCCTGGTTCTGCTCACTTCACTCAGCCTCAGTACATACAAGTCTTTCCAGGTTCTTCTGAAGTCCATCTGCTCATCATTTCTTACAGCACAATAGTATTCCATTACATTCATATACCACAACTTGTTTAACCATTCCCCAATGGATTGGCATCCCCTCAATTTCCAGTTCTTTGCCACCAAAGAAAGAGCTGCTATAAATATTTTTGTACATGTGGGTCCTTTTCCCATTTTTATGATCTCTTTGGGATACAGCCCTAGAAGTGTTATTGCTGGGTCAAAGGGTATGCACATTTTTATAGCCCTTTGGGCATAGTTCCAAATTGTTCTCCAGAGTGGTTGGATCAGTTCACAACTCCACCAACAATGCGTTAGTGTTCCAATTTTCTCACATCTTCACCATTTATCATTTTCCTGTTTTGTCGTGTTAGCCAATCTGATAGTTGTAATTGTGGTACCTCAGAGTTGTTTTGATTTGCATTTCTCTAATCAACAGTGATTTAGAGCATTTTTTCATATGACTATAAATAGCTTTAATTTCTTCGTATAAAAACTGCCTGTTCATATCCTTTGACCATTTATCAGTTGGGGAATGACTTGTATTCTTATAAAT